GGCGGTGGGATAGCCTAGTGGTTAAAGCGTTCGCTCGTCACGTCGAAGACCCGGGTTTGATTCCCCACATGGGTACAATATGTGAAGCCCATTTCTGGAGTCTCCCGCAGTGATATTGCTGGAATATTGCTAAAACGGCGTAAAACTAAGTTCACTCACTCACACTCATTCAATAACAATATTTGTAACCTTTGTGAATACTGAATGGAATGTCCATCTTAAAAGAAAGCAAATATTCGTCACTCTGCCAAGATGAAGAAGGTTATGGATTAGAACTCCCGTAGTGGTATTCAAAATTTCCATTTACGTCAGTCGAATAGATCCAAAGATGTCATCAGAAAAATGAATTATATGAAGAATACATGTCCCTTAGGTTTATGTATTATCATGAATAATATATATCTGAGATGCCGATCACATTCCATTAAGATTCTGGCAGGTAGTCATATCTCTTAATACCTCTCCTGGGGAGCTAATTAAAGCATTATTTCAGAAGCTTCATCGGGTTAGGTACCAAAGGCCGTAGTGCTCATATATCAGTTGGTCCATGGCTCCATGCTACTGAGGGACAGGTGAGCTGGTGCGGCAGATGTGTCGAGAAGCCCAGGTGAGCAGATCTCTTTCAGACAGCAGACCAGGCACCTTGGAGTAGCAATAATGATCAGAGTTATTGGCTGTCTAACAGAAACAGATGCTGCTTTCGCTGCTGCTTATTGCTAAATGCTTATGGGAAAAGTGCTTTGGCGTCGTTTAAGGTGCTTGTCAGATCGATAAGCTTTTGTTAAAGTTGATGTGGAAACAAATGGTTTACGATAACAGACAAAATGTGGACGATATTGTTAAATCAGTAGCTGATCTGGAATGAGTCTCCCTGTGGAGTGAGTGTTTGGGGAGCTCAAAACAGGCGGAGCTGTTCTGAGATGTGGCTGAGAGGAGTGCAATGTGCAATTCAAGGAAGGCAAGACGTACTGACACTCGAACATTTAGTGCCTCTGCTGCCATTAGGATTATTCGTAGGTCAATACTCTGCTCTTCCTTGTTCACTGTGCGACTGTGAAAATATGGAGACAGTCACATTTCATTCCAGTGTTATATACAGCATGTATTAGCAGAGACCATATAATAGATGGTCTCTGGTATTAGCAACGTCCCGTGGTGTGCTCACTGACAACAGACGGATGCTAACTTTAATATATTAGCTTTCCAACGCTTACCTAGCCTAACCGACCGCCTCCGTGGTGTAGTGGTTAGAGCGTCCGCCCGAAGAGAGGAAGGTCGCGGGTTCGATCCCCGACCGTGTCATAGCAAAAGACGTTAAAATATGGTACTTGTTGGCCCCTGCCTGGCGCTCGGCATTAATGGGTACAACAAGGACTGGTCGGCTCGGAGTCAGTATAATGTGTCTGAGTGGGGTATTCATGCTTCACTGCGGCATGGTATCTCAGTGGGCTAGCACTATAAAACCAGCTTAAGTCTGGGCTAGTACAAGCAGCCGCACATACACATACACACGCATGCACGTCGTCATCTGAGCGAAATATTCTCAAGCACGACGTTAAACCCAATTTCACCTCACCTCACCTAGCCTAACCCTAACGGGTTAGTTTTACTAATTCCTAATCTAATAGCTCCAATGCTTAGTTGGATATGTTAGCTTGCCAATGAATACATGTCATCGTGTACCAATTCCATGGATTGATCTTCGTGATGTCAAACACTGGACTGACTGGTTCATACTGTACAACCGTCATATGGCTTGAATCCTGCCGACTGTGGCTTTAAACAACAAAAGCCTTGTGTTAGTTTGATTGGCTTACGTCTATGCTCTTGCCTTTCATCGTTTGCTCTTCTGTGCCTACTTTGAGCCAAATATTCATACCCAGAAAACCGAAACACCGTCTTGTCAGGAATCCAAGAGTTACTTGGTCGCTGCTTCAACACAGATAACCCGTGCTGCAAAACCGATGACGCTATGTAAAACTACACGTGCATCTACCACTGACTCCACAAATACGTATACTATACCGTGAGAACAGTCCAGTCGCTCTTGGGCATACAAATGTACTCGGATATCGAGACGACGTTCTCCGTATGCAACCATGCTGCAGTACTTGTGTCTCGATCCACTTGTATCGTGATTATTGATTCGAATTTCCATATCCAATTCCACAGCTGTCCTGTATTCCATTTTTCTGAAGATTCCACAAAACAAATTCAACTCTGTTGTGCCTTTCACGCCTATGGATTCTGATACTGCGGATTGTTAATACTGGTTATACACGTTGACATTTATATAATTGAAGACTTTATTTAAACTTCAAAGAAACAATCATTAAGGACTTTAAAAGGAAGTGCGGATAGATAATTAACACCAGTGTTTCATTCGTACAGAAAAAACACATTCTATCGCTCATTGGGGTCTGGTTCAACAACGTGTACCCAAACAAAACGTTACATGGAGGAATGTGTTTGATGTCTTGGGCTTGAAATGAAGCTTCTCGCCAAAACATGCGGTACAGAAGCGTTTACAATGTCGTCTTTGTTTAGAGGAAAGGAACAAGGGGCATGTTTGTATACCTCGCTACGATGAAGGGCGCGCCAAGAATAACGTTCGCACTACCTATTTAGCTACACTAGCAATCGCTCAGAGCTGCCCTACAGTGAAGGGGGGGGAAGGGGGAGAAGAAGCAGGTGAAAGGGGAAGGAGGAAGACGTGAAAAGCAGGGAAGGTAACAACAGATGTTGTTGTGTCGTTTATATGTAAACAAATCACCATTTATATCACACACGACGGTGATGCCCTTGCTATGAACTGCCCGGATGTGTATCTCTTCAAATAACGGTGTTTTGAGTTGACCATCTGTGAAAATGTTGATAATAGATATCAGGTTAATGCTAAGGGTTGAATACACAGTTGATCGCCTTTAATAGACGCCAGTTTCTTGATGTTTATGTATCTTGCTGAGGTGAAACCCTTCTTCCTAACAGTACACCTGTGCCTAGGATTCTTTAAGATTATCCTCTTACACTTTCTACCAGCAATAGAAAATTGGTGTGGACGATGTTAGTAAAAGGTACATTCGCATGCTACTAGCAATATTACATCAATGACTTAGAATTTATATCAACAAACACACTATTCTAACAGCAACAGAACATCGGTGCCTGAGATTCTAATGTTATCCATATATACATATTAGCAGCAATCAAACATTAGTGGCTAAGATTCTAATATTATCCACACACACTTATTACCAACAATACAACATTGGTGCCTTTGATTCTCATATCCTCTGCATACAGTCATTCCCAGCAATACAACATCGGTGCCGAATATTCTCATATCATCTACATACAGTCATTACCAGCAATACAACATCGTGCCGAAGATTCTCATATCATCTACATTTAGTCATTCCCAGCAATACAACATCGGTGCCGAAGATTCTCATATCATCTACATACAGTCATTACCAACAATACGACATCGGTGCCGAAGATTCTCATATCATCTACATACAGTCATTACCAACAATACAACATCGGTGCGTTAGATTCTCATATCATCTACATACAGTCATTACCAGCAATACAACATCGGTGCCGAAGATTCTCATATCATCTACATACAGTCATTACCAACAATACAACATCGGTGCGTTAGATTCTCAAGTCATCTACATACAGTCATTACCAACAATACAACATCGGTGCGTTAGATTCTCATATCATCTACATACAGTCATTACCAACAATACAACATCGGTGCGTTAGATTCTCAATTCATCTACATACAGTCATTACCAACAATACAACATCGGTGCGTTAGATTCTCAAGTCATCTACATACAGTCATTACCAACAATACAACATCGGTGCCGAAGATTCTCATATCATCTTCATACAGTCATTACCAGCAATACAACATCGGTGCCGAAGATTCTCATATTGTCCATATACACGTAATACCAGCAATAAAACAATGGTGCCTAAGATGGTCATATTATCCACACACGCACTTGTTACCAGCAATTTATCGTCAGTGTCTAAGATTCTAATATCAGTTTCAATCACTTACTACAATCAATAAAACATAAATGCCTAAGATTCTAATATTAACCAAATGCCATTCGTACTTCCTGTGATGCTAATATTAACCGCATGAACATTTTATTGAGCACATTGACACGAATAAAGCTGAAACTATGTGCACCAGAACCAATGTATTCTTGTAGAACAGCCAGTGGGGATGCTAGAGAGAGACAATACAGTTACTCACTGTAACAGGGGGATGCATGGCGAACACTTAACATAATCATATAAACATGTCAGAACGTCGGCGTAAGTTTAGTATCCCCAGGTTAGCTGTTGTTAGTGACACGCGCTAATCTAGTCGACGTTGTTTGATCTGTTTCACATGTTAGTGTTATTGATTTCGCTGCAGGGCGTTTAACAACGCTCATATCACCCCGAGTGTTTTATTACAGACCGATTATAGACGAGCACTTTCCTTCTCCGGTGATGCGGTTTACACAAGAACCATGACTACATCCTCAAGAACTTCAAATATGACTTAAATATTTATGGACGCCTCAAACTTGTCTGAATATAATTGAACGCTGGGTAGGGTTAACTTACTGCCGTTTCAAATCAATATTTGACGGACACCTTTAACCGGATTGATAACCAGGCCTTGTTCATTTCTGAGTGGGGTCCGGACGGTGGTAACAATAAGAACCAATGGTGTCATGCCAATCAATACGTGTTGTATGCCTCAACACCTGTGGTCACACCTCGACAACGTAGCGTCGAAACTCTGCCCCAGGTGACACTGTTAGGAGCCCTAAACCTTTGCATTACACACGTCATTAAACTCGGCAGCAGGCGACGTCAAACGTCGACGTGTGGAAAGGTCAGTAGGAAAACGTCATAATCTATGACATGATCATTAATTACAATGCAGCTGAATATTGTTATTAATAAATGCTCTTTCCTTGCAGCGTTATGAATGAGAGGATGATCAGACGTATCCGTCATGGTGACTTCTGTTCCTTTGTGTGTGACGGCTGGAATCTTCATTGTGATGCTTCTCGTTGCAGGAGGTGAGTCCTTTTATACTATTAATGGAAAACGTTATTGTATGGATTTACATGACGTGTGTTGTACATTATTCTTGAGCCGTAGTCTCATGACGTTGGAGATTATTATCTGTTGCCTGGAAACACAATCACAGGCATCAGTAAATATATTCATAACCTTCTGGGAAGGAGTGACGTTATTCATCCCAGGCCTGACGTCTCTTGCCGTTGTTTTGATGGAGCCGTGTGATCTCCCATGAGCTGAATGGAAATGGATTATTATCTGGATCGCAATGTAATCACGCTCCACTCCACTCTCCTTATCTCGAAATCACAACCGTATATATCGAAGCGGTTGTGGAAAGCAGTCAAGGCTTAGGATGGAGAAGGGTGGGAATGGACTGTGGGTGAGGCTAGGTGGGAGGTGGGGGGATTTGTGTGTAAGAAGGTGTGTAAGATATCCATTTTGTCTAAGGTTTCTAAAGGCCTATGAGAAATTCCATAGAACCATGGGATTAGTGAGTGAGTGAGTTTAGTTTTACGCCGCACTCAGCAATATTCCAGATATATGGCGGCAGTCTGTAAATAATCGAGTTTGGACAAGACAATCCAGTGATCAACATCATTAGCATCGATCTGCGCAATTGGGACCGATGAAATGTGTCAACCAAGTCAGCGAGCCTGACCACCCGATCCCGTTAGTCGCCTCTTACGACAAGCATGGGCTACTGAAGATCAATTCGAACCCGGATCCATGGGGGGAAACATTTTCTAAGATGGATTTGTAGTATGGTTAGTGGTTTTCTCTAAAAAATCTGGATTATGTTTTACAGCCAAGCAAATTCAACAGAAACATTAGCTGTACAATGAATGACTGCGGTCAAGTAGTAGGTGGTATATATCACAGAGAACAGTGTCGAACAACAAAAATGATCTGCCATAAGAATCACACTATGTTTTCTAAAGTACCAAATCTAATCTTTTGATTCTTCATGTAAACTGGGGGCAGTGGGGTAGCCTAGTGGTTAAAGCGTTAGCTCGTCACGCCGAAGGCCTGGGTTCGATTCCCCACATGAGTACAATGTGTGAAGCCCATTTCTGGTGTCCCCGCCGTGATATTGCAGGAATATTGCTAAAAGTGCCGTAAAACCATACTCATTCACTCATGTAGACTGGCGCACAGTCTCTTGAAATATATTTTTGTGATAGCAAGAACTATCTCCACTGAATTTGCCAGGGGCCAAGTGAGATGGCAGATTCGGGATCTGAGGAAGACTTAGATTGCTTCATGTTAAGCGTTATTACAGAAAGGGCTTGGCGGAAGGGAAACTGATATGGTTCAAGGACTGGGAGATTGATGTTTCATGGAAAGTTGTTCAGAAAGTAGTATCACCAGAATAACTCTTTAATTACCCACGTTTCTTTGTCCAGCACTTCGTATGTCTTTCCTTCGCCCTTCACATATTGGTGAAACGTGAGCCTTGTTGAAGGCATTACGAAAAACGATGGTAGATAACATACACTGTATTTCACCAAAACCGCAGTTAGCCCGAAGTTGAACGGTATTCCTGCTATATTTACGGCGGTCATGTATAGTTTAGTAGTTCGAGTCTGGACCAGCGGTTAGCACAATGGCGGCGGTCTGAAATTTCGAGTCTGGACCAGACAATCCAGTGATTAACAGCATGAGCATCGATCTACCCAATTGGGATACAATCACATGTGTCAACCACGCCAGCGAGCCTGACCACCCGATCCCGTTGGTCGCCTTTAACGACAAGCATCGGTTACCGAGGATCCATTCTAACCCGGATCTTTACGGGTAGTTGTATAGTATAACTGCAATTAACATATCAGAGCATTCACATTTAACGAAACAGCATTTACACCAACGTAATTGATCTCCTTAATATCAATCACTGGTTTCTCTTGTCAAGAATTGATTATTGATTGCATGAACATTGATGAATACCGCTTAAATGCACCAGAGAAACACGTGCAACAAATTTCTATAATATTGCTTCATCCCGTTTTCAAATTAATAATCATAAACTTAAATTAGTGTTCACAACGCCGGCAAATATGCACCCGCGAGTCGCCAGGACACCTTGACCTGAACTGTTCCTGGCCGTCCTGAAGATGTTCAATCCCAATACTGATCAAGACACAGCCCTACATCAATTTGCGTCCAATCACTGATTTCACGCCTCGTCGAATCAACTCTCCTTCACAATTTGTCACGTGTCGCAAAGAAGGGAGATTATACGTAAATGTTCCTTAATTTCCTCACAAGGCGGAAATCAATGGCCAACATTGTGCGTGGATATAACCTTAATCAGGAGTGTATGTTCCGATCGTATCACGCGGAGCCAATGGTAGCTCGGGTTACAAGATACGGTGTTGTGTTGACTGCAGCGCTTCCCATGACAGAACGTAACATATACCCTACTCCATTATACTCAACAAACTTGCAACAATAGAAGACAGATAGGTTTAGTTTCTGCGTTGTAAAATGCAAATACTATGTAATAGGTTATGATAATTTGCAAGAAGTCATAAAAAATATTGTCTTTTAGGAAGCAATATTTTTTGCTTGAATACATTGATAAGCTTATTTATCATTACCGCAAAACGTCACAACCTTGAAATATTTTTGACCTTGAGAATCAACATCATATCCTTTGAGCAAAATAAGGAGATAAAAGTTTTTAAAATATGTTATTGCTAAATTAGAAATAGAATGTCGTTAATGTCTAAAAACATCTTTACATTATTCAGTGTTAATGACTTTTCAGTGACATCAAATATTGGCTTAGTATAACAATGTCACCAATATGTTCATGTTAAAGATTCATGGGCTGTCAACATCGCCCTAGGATTATGTAAATGTTAAACATGAGATGATTGTACAAAAGCCATTTTTCTCCATTGTGTTATAAATGTGTAATGTACACGTGCCATAACAGCCCTGATTAAACAGTCTTTTGTTAAATATGTTTTCTTAAAGATGTTTCTCTCAGTCGTAGTGTGGACACAGTTTAAGCATTTTTCGTATGAAATTTTCAACTGTTTATGATGCGGATGGGCTATTATGGTTCTGCTTTGATGCTAGTTTCCATCCTCATTTCAAAGCCAGACCTGGGATTAAACTTTACCTTTAAGGAATATGACAATACACCAAAGGTAAAAGCGTGTTTTGATCTCACAGTATTTGTGAGCGCTGTGGCCATCCTTGATGATCACTACAGCCAAAGATTGATCTTTGCAGGCCTTCTGAATACACGGTCGTACAAAAAAGCCGTCCTTTCTAAATGTCACTTGATTTCCGAAAGTTGAACAGCAACCACCTAGCACTACATGGGATCAATAACAGGGAGATCTGGAATCTCTGGCTTTTTCGCTTTATTTCAATCCTTGGATACATTCTTGCGGCATTCGGATCCACTCGGCTCATTCCGTTACGTACATATTTTTTTTCTGTAAAATTGGAGTAGTCATTTCAAATTGCATTAATTCGCTGTGAACCGAATCACCACCTATTGAGCCGATTGTTCAAAAACGCGTCCTCCATATCTCCATGGCTCGAACTTCTATAAATAAACAGACAGCTTGGATTCATTCCCGTGGTTCTCGCGATCTCACATTATCTGCCCTTGATTGTAATTATCAAATCTGATTTGCTGTGCTACTCAATCTAACTGACCAATCAAACTGCGAGTACAAACACTCCTGAATGTCGGACAGACGATACCAACAACACTGAGTCCAGCCCCATTAATTACAATAGAGGTAACGAGAAATTCATTGTTAAAAAAATGCTGAAACGCCATGGAAAGTCCTGAAAAACACTGTTCTTGATGGAAAATATGTACACTCATGTCCATTAAAGCTAACGTGACCTTTAGTTCATAGGCAATACGGGTTACCCCTTTCCCATTTCCTTTTTCCTTATCTCGACGTATGATTGGTCGATGAAATGTTAATAAGAATCAAATTCGGGTCATCTGAGATTACAAGAACCTAGGGCATGGGCCCAGGGTTAGCTTGAGGGTTACCGAAATACAAAAATGTGGACAAGAAGTCATGCCCGCCGATATAATTAGTTCGGGTAACACACGCTAGGAAGCATCATGAACAGTTGGAAGATCAAAGCAGGAACCAAACCATTTCCATTATCAAACGAAATCTCCATTGTATGTTTCCGACTACATTGAAAATAATCTTCACTGCAGTTTGAGTGTCGGAAAAATAATAATGGGAAAAATAAATAGTCCCAGAGAATGCTTGATTTTTTTTTAAGCTTCACGCTGCATTGAAAAAAAAGAAATTGCCAGCTCAAATATACATTGCTGCAATATGTCCTATTTGGGAAAAAAATATTTAAGCTCATAGTATTAATTTTGAACAAGTGTTGTCCCTATCCTCCACACAAGGCAACTTTCATTCAGCCTTTGATCTGTGAACACCTGCATCGATTTTACCTTTTGCATAAAATTATTGTCATAAATATTTAAGTCCATAGCCCTTATCAATGTTTAACGTATCTAACAGTTCAGCGCAGACAAACCCCATCATTAATAGCTGCATCTCATTATCAATCGCCCGTATTGATCAGCATGAATATCTCCAACGTGTTTCCCTATTGTGTGACACCCGCGTCCATACGGCCAGGCATATATTATTCAGAGTTTGTGGTATCGCCAATAGTGAACTCATTGTACCAGGAATTTGATATCTTTGTTTACTGATCCACATCCTACGGGAATAAGGGGATATATCTGTCTCCAGATACTTGTTATCGTATAGCTGATTCGTCTGTGTGCGTTGTTAATAGATACCTGAATACCTCATTAACCTCATATGAAGTGTATTAACTGATTACAACTATGCTCATGTATATGGTTATTGCTTTCTTGCAGTACGGTCGGAGTATTAACGGGTATCTTTCAATAACAGCATCCCGATGCTTCTTGACATATCCATTATTTAGGCGTAAATGAACATATGTTATCAGTGATTGTTCG